CTACTACCTACTACCTACTACTACCTACTACCTACTACCTACTACCTCCTACCTGCTACCTGCTACCTACTACCTACTACCGACGACGACTGCGACTACGATGGCTCCCTGAGCCGATAATTCAGGGGGAGGGGACCTCATGAATGGAATCTCATACCTTCTTGACCTTGTTGACCTACCATGTGGGGGGGGGTTTATTAGTCCGGTCTTTGCATTATATGATGCCCTGTAGTGCCCTTTATCAATGACCACTGTGACCCAACTTGTCCCGGCTTGCGGCTCCTGGAGCTTCAGCAAGAGCTTTCGCCCAAGGTCGCTGGGCGTGGTGAAGTTCAAAGGCACCTTCAGCGTTCGCCGCCGCAAGGTCTTCGGGTTCGAGCGTTCGAGCTCTGCGGGTCCGAGCGCAAACGAAGATCTCAGTCGAATCCGCAGCCGTTTGATTGAACTTTGCAGCCGTTGGTCTGGGACCACTGGATAATGGAACCCTCACATCCTCGCCATGAAAAAAAAACGTCATACAATGTCATACATGATGACTCTGTGACGGCCAGCACTAAAGTCAGGAGGAGATCGATTATGAGATTGAGGAGGAAAAAGGTGTTTGCAAAATTATCTCGGAAGAGGTAGCCAAGCAAAGATTAAGTGCTCAGGCTGATGGTAGCTAACTATAGACCAACATATGAACATATTGTAGTTATATCACTAGCTTACACATTCATCAAAGGGGCTCGTGGGCTTGTGCACTAGCCTACCACCTACATGGACGTCAAAAGCATGTACTCAGGTGCTCAAATTCAGCAAATGTGCAAGAAATCCGGTGGTCCAGCCATGGACCTTCGCACATCCCAAGGTTCGGCATGTAGTGTTGGACCATACCCACTACTATGACCACGCACGTGGGAAGAAGTAAATTTCCTTCCTGCCCCTATGTCAGAATCTCCATGTACAATTATGCACACATGGCCGGTTTGGATGGTGACAGCAAGAAGCAGTCCACACGCCTGCCCCCCATTGTGCCCAACGGTCGCGTCGTCGGTCGGCGGGCGCCTTGCGCCCGGCTGCTTGGTGTGGCATGTCGTCCAGGGGCGTGGCACCTTGATTCTCACCTGAACGGTCCACCCGGTGTGTCGCCACGTGGGAGGGAGTCCTCGCCTCGTCCAGTCTGCACGACCGGACCGGGACCTCATGGGGTGTCATCATGAGTGGCCGGGGCCGGTAGACCCGTGCATGAAGTAAGAGCCACCCTGATTGAAGTTTGTAGAGAGAGCGGGTGGGCGGGCTGGTGGAGTTCTACAGAATGGTCCATTCGGATAACGGGTTCTTGACTTGACACCCAAATAAACCGGTTTCAGAGTAGATGGCACAGTCGCAACATTCGACCTCTTTTATATGTTCTATACCTGGTTCTTGAAAGTGACCTTTTGATAACCTGGTTGGTTCGGTCACGAACAAGCCTCCTAATTAAGGGTCACGGAGTAGGGTCACCTTCAAAACCTCACGAACTGAAGAAGCTGGTAGATGGAGAATTTCAAGCAAAATGGCTGTCATGGAGAGCCCGGACAGCCCCCGGACAGCCCCGGAGCCTGGGAGCCTGAGTGAAAACCCTAGGCCCTGGGCGGTCACCTTCCGGATCCCATCTGGTGGGTTTTCACCCACAGCCCGTTGGACCCGGTTTAGAAGTAGTGCCCGGGCTTTCTGGTGACACATGGTGACACCCCTTTTTGGTTGGTGCTCAATTTGAGTACTTTCAGCCAGAAAATCACAAAGCACTGCCTCTTTTTCAGTGACCCCAAATATGTTCAGGACTTCAATGAACAACCCATGTGCTGCATCTCACCCATCATCACTCGTTTTCTTTTGAGAATTCTTGCAACCAGCACCACATGAGAGATACCAGACTCCACTGGCTCTTCGGTCCTAGGTGAGCCGCTGGGTGATTGAAAACGCCGGGATTTCACATCTTGATCACCTGCCAGGACCCTCCGACCCTCGGGGTGTCCTGGCTGGACTACCCCACACTACCGGCTTCCAAACAGGGCACCCCGACAGGAGGGTCCTGGTGCAGCTCAGCGGCTATTCAAGTAGAAGAGGTATCTCTCCGAGAGTTCCAGGCCATGTCTGGGCGTACGCTGGCCGTGTTTCGGCGTGTGGGCGCCCGTTCTGACTCACGCGCTGTCAGCCATAGGGGCCATAGGGGTGGACGTAAAAATGCTTTGCAATACATGTCCACAAATATTCCAACATGTGTCGTTACATTCTCGCCAGAATGACCTTCACCAAAACATATTGCAAAAACACCAACGACAACACATCGCCTCCAGTTTCTCTCCCTTGCTTCACCTTGGTGCTGAACTCCACCCGTCCCCAAGTCTTTGCCACGTGGGTGTGTATGTTCATAGGGAACTCTCCCCAAGTCTTCCCCGATCGCTGTGGTAGACTGTGGCAGCCTGGTCGATGTTCCGTTTCCCATTCCCAGGAGCTTGGAGGCCATTCCTACAAGTAGGTTAGAGGCCATCGCTACTAGGGTGGAGGCCATTCCTAGCTTGGAGGCTATTCCATCACATCACGCCCTAGGCAGGTCGGGTCGAACACCTCGCTCCACACGAGTCCAACGTCCTCCACTCGGCTCCGGCGCGGCGTGGTGAGGAAGATCAGCTCTGGCGACGCGGTCTGCGCTTCGCGACCCAAGCGTTGCGCCGCCTGGTGGAGCTGCAGCGAGCCACCTGGGCGGTGGAAGCGGAGCAAGGAGGTCAGCTGTAGCGGTTGAACAAATGAGTCACACCTACTGCACAATAGAAGCAGGATCCTTAAAATATATTGAACGTCTTGAGCTTCTTAGATGCTGCTTGCAAATCTTGGGCAAGGAGGTCATATATGAGGTAATGATGTCCAGAAAATCTTTGTTGAGGGAGGGTTTGCTGGGAGTGACATTTGAGTTTTCTATGCGCCATGGTGTGTGGTACTACTCATGACATGTCATGACTATCATTTCTCTGCTCGAATCAGAAAGGATTAGTCATCCTCGGAGTCTCTATCGGAAGCCACCACCAGTTTAACCCCTGACAAACAAAAGTTGAAGAGAAGACCTAACTGTCTTTTTCGAGCGCTAACACCATCATCTGTTCAGAACTCTATCAGATCTTCTTAGCTCCAGAATGCAAAAGGATACCGATGGATTCAACTGCATGCTCTGAAGGTCGGATGTTGACAAACACCCACCATGACCCAACACATCTTGCAGCCGAAGACTTTTTTGGGTTTCCCAATAACGACCCAACACATCCTCTGTCCCCACCAGTCCTGGTGAATCTTCACCCCGGGTGTTCCGTCCACCTGTGTCGTTCACCAGCTTGGGATCGTAAGCGAAGTCTCCATGCGGCAAGACCGCCGCAGCGATCAAGCGCCCCTCCACCGTTTGGGCCGTTAGGGCGGTCAAGGCCGTCAGCAGATGCATGGCGGCTGCGCGCTAGAAGCAAGACGGCTTCTTCAAGTGAAGCTTTTGTTCATGCACAATGGAGGTGTAGTGTGTGAAGAAGCTATGCGATTGCAACCAGAAAAATGAAGCAAATGCCGCACATCCATTGCAGTACATGTTCTGTTCAGAGAGTACAAACATGGTGTCTTACACTGAGATTGATGTTGCTGTTTCTATTGCCCGAGCTGCATATTGCGGCATGACATGTGTCTAAGTGCCTCACAATTAACAATAGTATACAATAGTTTAACTGACTGACTGACTGACTGATTGATTTTGGATTGTTTTTTGTTGCAAAAAGTCCATCAATACCTGGTGTCATCTTCATCTTCTCCCCATGGCCACACCGGATTCATACGACTTTGGTGATAAAAATACGAGACTTCGGGCCTAGGGCAAGTGCCCAGTATCGTTGTATTGCATGTGAGCCATCAGTTTTTCTTGAAGTATTGATATTGTGAGCCTCCCCATGTCTAGGGCGCCCCAATTGGCTAAAGGTGACATGTTCCTCACGTTTTCTATGCCTGGCGGCAAGCAAGATGCGGCTCCGCTCGGATCCCGACAGTGACCCAATCGAGATGTGCGGAACCAGTGGCAGTACCGAGCGGATCCATCGAGGGGTGTACTTGGTACATCTTGGTACTTTGTGAATCTGATCATGTCCAGGTCCGACTGGTGATGAAGGGTGACTGGGGTGGTGTTCTAACCACACAAGTGTGCCACTCATGGCCATACAAAAGCCAATGTGCCGAAACAGGGATGACACGGGCCATCCGGAAGTGCCAAACACCATCGTACAATGGATGCCCAGCTGAGTCTTCCCAAACCAAACATGCACACAATTCTGTTGTTTTTGTTCACAACCCCAAGTAGTCGACCCTCCGTCTGCGCCGCTAGGGGTACCCAAATGCTTTGCGGTTCCACTATATACCTCCGCCTTTTTGGCATGTTTGGACCCACCCCTACCCACACCACGGCCACCCCGAAACACACAAACGGGCGAGCCCCGCGAGCCGTGAGCCGCCTCCGCGGGTGGGCGACCTCAGAAGTTGGACGAAGCGACATGCTCGGAGCATCGTGTAGGTCTCATTCTGGAAGAGAATCGATATATATATATATATAAAATAACATAGACTCAGACCACTGACATGGTCGACCTGTCAGACATGTCAGTGGTGGAGGGTGAAACCCTAATAATTAGAACCCCCAATAGGGCCCTTATATCTGACCCTATCACGTCCAAAATGCTACTTGACGAGTGACTAGGACTTACCAGCACTGGTACTGACTCTTTGAGTGTCCATGAACCACGTCGAGACGGCGTGGCATTCTGCACTGTATCTTGTAGCATGAATCCTTGGCGCTTGGCACTGGGTGTCAATGTTAGTGTTTCTCCAAGGCTACCCAGTGGTTATAATCAATTGAGCGCCAAAATCAACAGGACTGGACATGTTGCTGAGATGGATGTCGTTTCCAACACACTTTGTGGGGTAGTGTCAGCTAAGTCCTTTTGGCTATCTAAAGTATAGGCTTCTTGAGAATCTGGTTCCATGTTCTGAAACAGCATAGCTGCCCTGGCTGCCCTACACTTCCCTGGGTTCTTGGGGGAACCGAACCCTTGAAACACAGACGGACGGAACCGTGTGGCCAGTCACGGCCCGGAGCGGACGGCATTTTCTCTCGCAGGTCCAACGGCTCAAGCAGTTGGCCGTTCAAGTTCACGCATGAGCATCACCCCTATCTCTGGAGCTTGATGTAGCCTACTGCAAGGCACTGGAGCGGCTATCGGGCCGAAAGTACTTCTGGAATTTCGAGATCTTCGATTAAAAAGCACTGCCTGGGAAAAAATGAATGAACACAACTGGTCTGCTCGCCCTTGACCTGATTCTGGGGTCTTTACAGAACCACATCAAGTTGAATGAGATCCTTGATCTTAAGCATTTACTATGATGGTCCTGATGGTTCTCTACTTTTCAGGGCTGCTTTTCTCTGTGTAGCGTCAATGTTTCAAGGTGTTTCAAGGGTCATAGTTCACAAGGGCCCTGGTACATCAGATTCTGTCAACTAACATGGCCTGTTAGTTGGGACGAGGACTAACTCCCCTGAGGTCTGCAGGTCATAGGTTTGATGCCTAACAGGTGAGGCAATCCCCTTGTTTGGTCAAAAAAGATGGCCTGTCCGGAATAAGATGGCCCTAGAATTCGTGGCCCACCATGAATTGATTGCAGGGTCATCCCGAACCACCAAGCTGTACTCAAGATTTTGACTATCCAAACTCCAAACTAGGCCAACCATTTTTGAAACGGTCTTTGAATGCTAATTAGGGGATGCTGTTGATCTAACTCTGCGTATGTCTGGCGGCTTAAGCCGCACCCCGTCTCAAGGGGTTCGCCCGGACGAGGAAGCAGGATGGATTGGAAATAGCATCAATCACGGTTCAAGTGGCTTAACAGCGTCAATGGAAGAAACTGCCTGCCTGTCCAAAGTCTATGAATCCCTACATTTGGTGGTTTTTGGTGAATGTCGGTCATATTGACTTTCCTGGATCGCTTGGGAATTGATCATACAACATGCCGAGCATACGACTGGCCCAGCCCCGCGGTCCCTGCTTGAGTGGGGCCGAGACGAGTCTCGGTCCCTTTCCTCTTGCATCGCGAAAGGTCGATTCGGCGGCCTGCACAGTGACCCTGCAAAGTGGCTGCTGTCTTCGCGCGGCGGGGTCGCAGGCCCGAGTGAAAAGAAACATAACAATCATGATTCTGTCCCATCCCTCAAGAAATGAAGCTGAACACTTGCTGACTGGGGATGGGAATGGATTCTGACCAAGAAAAGTCAACCTGCTGAAGCAAGAGGACTACTGTATGGAAACTCTACTCCACACCACAGGGGCGTTCCGATGCACCGGTTTTCAGAGTTCGGGCATGGCATTTTCGGAGGTTCGGGCGGCATGTCCCCCCCTTTCTGCTTCGAAAGTGCCACTTTCGGGGACGACCATCGCTTACTAAACCAGTATCGGATCAGACACTCTGGAGCCTACAAGTAGCTGGCCAGAACATGCCCCCCCCATGCCGTAACATGCGAGGATTTTTCTCGTCTTCCAGAACGATACACATCAAACGTTTCTGGTTGGGTGACTCGGGTGAGCCACAACCATACAACGAGCCACCTGCTAGCACTGCTAGCTGGTGGGTAGAACGGTCATGAATGGTCCAACGTTGAACATGTTTATCATCTCTAGAACTCCAAAAACTATTACATAAATTAATAGGCTGAATCCCGAACCAACTAAGGATTTTACGTTCAACCATGTTTTCATGGTCTTGGAAGTCTAGGGTAATGGAACAGCATGTTGGATGGTCACGACTCAGGACCATGTTTCATTTTCATCTGTTCTGTGAGCAATGGGTGTATGGTGAGCATGGTGGAGCCACAAGTGTGCGTGTGTGTGGGTTGGAGAAAAACACACCACGTGAAACCACACTAGCTTTATATATTCTTAAACAAAATCTCTGCGCTCCATCATACTCATTATTCTGACTCTGTGCCAGGAAGTGTTTTCCAAGCTTTGGGGTTCCCAAATTCCGTGTGGCCGAGTTCCAAAAGCTGGTCTAGACCGGTCTATAGAAAAAGAAAGGACCGTCCCAAAAAGGCTTCCAGGTGCCATCGCGGACCGCCCCTGGCTTCGTCACTCGCTCACTCGTCCTGTCGAGCGGACGATCCATTCCGAGCAGACTGCGGTCGACTCGTCGAGTGCGAGTGGATCCACAGCGACCGAACCGACTCGAGCCAGGAGGTACGGTCGGTACTTATGCAGGCTGCAAGATGCTGCCCAGTACCTTCTGAGGTACTGTGGCAATGGATCCACTAGGGGATGTCTACACCAGGACCCCCGGGAGTTGGGTTGGTTGGCGAAGCCTTCACCTCTTTTCGGGGCGTTGTGGACGAAAGCACACACCCCATGCGCCTTGAAGGGTCCTCGTATGGAACTTCATATGGATGATCCTTGATGTCGGGAATAGAATGTCGATGCCCGGCATGGCTATAGTACAGTACCTATTCCCTATAGGATTGGTTCTTCACTTGGGGTGCCGGCCATACTTTTAGACCTGCATATTATGCATATGCATCTGTGGATTCCAGGGTCCGGTATCGTTGCACTGGGATGTGCTGCAACGAAGGGACTGGGATGTGCTACATCGATAACGACGTGAACGACGTGGACGACGTGTGTCGCGGTGGGAACGAATGCATGGGGGACAGCACGGACTGGGGATCATTTGTTCCTCAAAGTAAGAGGATCAATATTTGCACTTTTTCAGCACAACACAATGAACTCAGTGCTGCCAGTGAATCATAAGGATTCTGGGGAAATTCATCACCTTTTTCGCGAAACCTTGAGGGACAAACCATCCTTGTCTGGCTCATCCTGGCTATAGGTCTTGTGCCAGCCCTTGAGGTCAGCTCTGATGGAGGAATCCCATCAAAATATAGAAGCATACCTAAAATGTAACTTTGAGTTTGCCCTGCTTTCAGAGATGTTCTCTCTCTCTCTCTGATTTCTGCAACTTTGGTGTCACGTTTGTGACAATTCAACTCTATAGCAAGGCTCCGAGGTGACTTCACCTCTTTGGCAAGTTGGAAGCATTAGGAAGCCTAATTAAGCTCCAACCCAGTTAAACCTTCCTTCTGGCTGACGCAAACAAAAACAAGCACAATAAAGACACCCACACAGTCGTTGAGAAGTAAGAACACCTATAGCTTTCTGCATCACTCACTGGAGAAAAGCAAAACGTAAGCACCGTCAACGACGCACGTACGCGCCTCATCCTCCTCCTCCTCTTCCGGAGGTGCGCCACCCTGGAAAGCGATCACTGCCTGCATGTCCAGTCGCTGAGAAACACGCGAAACAACACGCGGAACACCCAAACTGGGATCCATGGGATCTTTCATCTGAAAACGGAAAGCTGACAGCGGAGATGTTCCGCTTTTCCGTCAAATTTGGATGCGTCGGACGCATTCCCGAAACAACTATA